TACTAATAAGCACCTTGTTACTGGAAGGCTGGGGATTTGGTTTGTGATTATTGCAATAAGCTAAGACATACTAAGGAAAGGTGTTGGAAGCTCAATCATCATTTAAAACTGGGAAGAAGGGAAGTTCTCACTTGGCTACAATTGGTAATGATGCTCTACTTTCTGATGTTCATGACTCCTCTTTTGTAATGGACAAACATAAGAATATACTATTGTAGCTGGAAAAGGGTGGTACATCCTTCTCATCTGGTTCTGGACCTAGTAATCCATCTAGTTCATACGCCAAGACAGGTACTGCACTTGCTTGTTCCACATCTTTTAATCCATGGATTGTAGACTCCAGGGCCAATGCCCATATGACTAGCATGCTTTCACATTTTATCTCATATAAATTAACACCAGGGAGGGGCAAGATTACTGTTGTTGATGGATCTTAGATCCCTATTTCGGGTTAGGGTGAAGTCAAACTCACTCATAACCTTTCTCTTGCTGTTCTTCATGTGCCCTAGTTACATAAAAGTTTGTTGTCTGTTAGTTCTCTTACAAAATCCCATAATTGCTCAATGACCTTTTTTCCTTCCCTTTGTGTTTTTTAGGACTTGAGCACAAAGAAGAATTGGAAGTGGGCATGAAGTTGGTGGAATCTACCTCTTTGATGGACCTTAAGAGCATGGATTATCGAGCCAGACTGAGTCTTGTACAAATGAGAAAATGAGTCTTTTGAAATTATGGCATTGTCGTCTTGGCATATGTGTTTCAATTCTATAAAACTTTTGTTTCCAAACTTATTTGACTCAGTGTCAAAGTTGAACCTTGAATGTGAAGTTTGTCATCTATCAAAACATTGTAGAACCACATATATTGTGAGTGGTAAAAGAAGTAATGTTGCTTTTCATTTGATCCATGCTGATGTTTGGGGCCTATATGCTAGCATGGGTGGGTATAAATATCTTATCCCCTTCATTGATGACTACAATCAGTATACATGGCTCTACTTGGTGAAAAGTTGGGATGAAGTTCCTATGATGGTTCAAAACTTCATGAATATGGTAGAGACACAGTTTGAGAAAAGTGTTAAGATAATAAGATCTGATAGTGCCAATGAATACTTTGAACATTATTTGCACAGATTTCTTGAAGATCGGGGCATTATTCACCAAAGTTCATGTATTCATATTCCATAACAAAATGGGGTAGCTGGAAGGAAGAATAGGCATTTGTTGAAGTTGCTCAACGTTTACTATTCTAGACTCATGTTCCCACCCGTTTCTGGGGTGATGTTGTTGAGACAATTGTGTATCTCATCAACAGACTTCCTTCAAGGATCCTTAATCTTTAGTCTCCTCATTAACTTCTCTTTCCTAATGAACCTCCTTTTAATCTCTCCCTCAAAATCTTTGGTTGCGTTTGTTTTGTTTATGATATGAGTCATTCCTGGCGTAAGTTTGATCCTAAGTCAGTTAAATGTGTTTTCCTCAGTTACTCTCATGTCTAGAAAGGCTATAGATGCTTTGATGCTCTCTATGGCAAGAGATATGTCTCTAAGGATGTTACCTTTTAGGAGTCCTCTTTTTTCTAGTCATCTCGTCCTTCTCTTCAGGGGGAGAATGCAAGTGAAGATCGGACTCCCTTTCTGCCTTCTTGTCCATGTCTCTTCTATTCCTCCTTCTCTTCCCTCTCTTCCCTTTAACAATGGTATTCCTCCTCCTCTTCCCCTGTGTATTGGCCTCAGCCTTGGCAACAATTTTTCATCAGACGTAAGTAAGAGGGTGGCTCCTGAAATAGAATGCTCATTATAATCCGATTTCTCGGACTCAGGTGATCTCGAACCTCCCGATAATTCTATTACTGTTCTTGACCTTGATCTTTCTATTTCCATTCGAAAAGGGAAGAGGATATATAGCAAGTATCCTATTACTAACTATGTGTCTTGTGATGCTCTCTCACCTTCTTATTGTGCCTATATTTTTGCCATCTCTTTTGTTTCCATCCCTTGTAGTATTACAGAGGCAATACAGTCCCCTTATTGGAAGGAAGCTATGAACCAAGAGATGAAGGCCTTAATAAAGAACCATACTTGGAAGGTTGTTCCTTGTCCTAAGGATGAGATTCCTGTTGGGTGTAAGTGGGTCTACACTGTTAAGCACAACGTAAATGGTTCAATTGAGAGGTACAAAGCTTGGCTTATAGCCAAAGGATACACACAAACTTGTGGCATTGATTATCTGGAAACCTTTGCTCCAGTTGCTAAAATGAACTATTCGAGTGGTCATGTTTATTGCTGCCCATCACTTTTGACATTTATATCAAATGGATGTAAATAATGCCTTCCTTAATGGGGACTTAAAAGAGGAAGTGTATATTGACTTACCACTTGGGGTAAGCTTTCCTAATAGTGAAGGAAAAGTTTGCTGCTTGAAGAAGTCCTTGTATGGGCTCAAGCAATCTCCTAGGACCTAGTTTAACAAGTTCAAAAATGGTATCTTAAAGATTGGGTTTTTTCAATTTCTGGCATACCACACTTTATTCATTAGAAGAGTTGATGGAAGAGTAACAATGTTGATAGTATATGTTGATGACATTGTTGTGACAGGCAACGATATTACATGTATCTCCCAGTTAAAGTCCTTCATTGCTTCCGAATTTGAGATAAAGGACCTTGGTGGTCTTCGATACTTTCTTGGCATTGAAGTTGCAAGATCTAAGAAGGGAATTTTTCTGTCACAAAGGAAATGTGTACTTGCTTCATGAAATTGAGAAATTAAGGTGTAAACCTGTAGAAACTCCAATTGATCCCAACCACAAGTTGAGTGCTACCGAAGGAGAAACTCTTCCAAACAAAGGGGTATATTAGAGATTGGTGGGCTGCCTTCTGTATCTGTGTTTGACCAGACCTGGCATATCCTATGCTGTTGGAGTGGTTAGCCAATATTTGCATGAACTTAGGACCTCTCATATGTTGGTAGTTAATAAAATTTTAGCCTATCTGAAATGACGCCCTGGTAAAGGGATGTTGTATTCCAATCACGACCATCAAAAGATTGAGGCTTACACAAATGCTGATTGGGCAAGGTTCATTAATGATAGAAGATCTACATCTAGTTATTGTGCATTAGTCGGAGGCAATGTTGTTTCATGGAGAAGTAAGAAATAATTTGTGGTTGCTTATTCTAGTGCTGAGGCAGTATGCAGGGAATGGCTCATGGAGTGTCTGAACTACTCTGGTTGAAGACCTTATTAACTGAGATGGGCATCCAAGTGGATATCCCAATGAGACTATATTGTGACAATCAAACAACCATAAACATTGCCCACAATCCTGTTTAACATGATCGTACAAAGCATATTGAGGTGAACATACATTTTATTAGAGAAAAAGTTGCTAGTGGAGAGATTTTCCTTCATTTTGTAAGGTTTGAAGACTAACTAGCTGATTGCCTCACTAAAGGTGTTCACCGCCCAAAGTTTGCTAAGAACTTTGCCAAGCTGGGCATGATTGACATATATGCTTGAGGAGGAGTGTTGAGAAAGTTTAGGCAAGGGTGTTTTTAGTCTTTTCCTCTTCTGTTTGTACTCTCTTTGTATTTGGGCACCCAAGTAGGGGTCAACTTGTAATTTCTTGTTTCAAAATATAAAGTGCCTTTTGAGGGTGTGAACAGTAACAAAAACACACCACTCGACACATATCTCTTCTTCTTCTTCTCTCTTTTTTTTCTTTCTTTCTCATACAAACCCTAGATTTACAACACTAGTTTCACAATTATTTTCTTCTACACCATTTTCCATAATAGGCATAGGATAACTTCTACATCAATAACCTTTTCCAAATAAACTGATTTTTCAATTAGATGGCTACGCAATCCTCATCCCCTAGAACAACTAAACCCAACGGTTTATGTACTTAAACTTCTACATCAATAACCTTTTCCAAATAACTGATTTTTCAATTAGATGGCTTTCATCCAAAGTAATCTCCTTATCGCTTGAATCATGATCAAGTCCTTCCTCTTATCCTCCTTCCTTCTCTTCCCCCACTGCAATTTCACTCTTCTCTAAAGCTGGGAATGTTCTGTAATTTCTTTTTCATTTAGAAGTCTTTAAGAAAGAACCGGATGTGTGATGTGAATAATAGTTAGGGAGTAGCATTGGCTTTCCTCTATTAGGAGTGCTTAACACAAATCTCTACGGAAACCATTCATTTATTAGTTGATAATATTGACCAGTTCCTGATAAAAAAAGCTCCATTTCATGGACATTTTCAGCTATTTCTGTTCCAAGATATATTGTGATCTCTTTACTGTGTTGTATCGCTCCCTTCTATCACTTCTTGATAGGGGGTTTATCTAATTTAATGAAGCATCTGAGATCATTGTAATGATGCAACCTTTGCAGACAATGTTATCCAAATGGAAGGGTCAAGTTGATGGATGAATTTCGGTTAAAGTTTATCTGCCCAGGAGTTGACGGGTTAATTATTTGGTTAGAATTGAGTTAAACGTCAAGTGTATCTAGACAAGGGTTTGAGAGTTTATTAAAAATTGTACACTTTCTATTGGGTGCGCTATGGGCACATTGGACCTTTGAAGTGATGTTGACTTGTGCATGTGTGGGTGGGGTGGGGTGGGGTGGGGGGGATCTTATATGGTTCTCAACTAAATGCATTAAGTTCATGATTTGATGTATTGGCATTCCAGTGAGGAGAAATTTGCTCTTCTAGATTTAAATAGTTTCCGTTTCCTTAAAAATATTAATTTATTTACATTTCCATGTATAGACATGCAGGTAAAACTAGTTAATGCTGCAGTCAATATTCCTCCATCTGAATTTGTTACAAAATGTCGATTGCTATCTAAAAAAATTTATGGCGAACCAAGCATATGAACTTTGAATTAACAATTAATGTCTTGGTTTTTTCCTTGTGAATTTAGAAACCTGTGTATATTGAGACAAGATAGAAAACAAATTTTCTGAACATGTCTTTTTGGCATCCATTTTTGTAGGTTTATGGGCAGACAGTATTACTGTTGATGATTACCAAGGTTGGTATTCTTTACTTGTCTCTCTTTTTTTGTGGCATGGTTTTTAACAAAAGCTGTTAGAACATTTAGGACTGGCATTTTGACATTAGAACATTATGTAATTTGTATAAATTACTGACAATTCATTTTCCCTGCTATAACTATTCGATATTTGATATTACAGTTGCCTAAAAGGGGTTTATTCTGACCATTGAGTTTATCCATCACCACCACTAACATGACCCCCCCCATTACAAAAAATATGAAAAGTTAAAATCTTCATTAGAGAAGTATTTCAGCTACTATTTTCACCCCTTTTACGGAATTACCTTGTCTTTCACCCCATCTTTTTTTTATGAAGTGTATATAAATTAAGCTTTTGAACGAAAGGGGCAAAAAATAACTGAAATATTTTAGTCTGAAAACTTATCTATCCATTTTACATTGAAATGAAAGGATCCTTTATTATAAATTGTCCTATAGTCAATATTATATTCTTGCCATATAATTTCCACATGCATGCACCTCTCAGAGAGTTTAATTTTCACAAAGACCTTAGCTGTTAAGAATTTATGGATTGAACTTCTCAAGTATGTGTACTCCTTGGCTAGGTTGTAATTGCTTGCCACCAGAACAACAACATTATCAATCATCCATACCTTGCAAAATTGAAATGCTCAATATCAACATATTTACCAATATATACAACTAAAATATGGAATTAAGATTTTTAAATACCCAAACTTGCCCATACCCTAGACAAAATTAAAGATTTTTAAATAATAACATTGTAAACAACTATTGAGAAAGAGGAAAAAGCAATAAAAACATTTCCTTAAATCAGAATAGATACTAAATGGCAACATAGGCCACCCATCAAGAAGATATAATGGATCACCAGTCTAATACACTCATCATGGATTTATAAGAAACAAACCTTACATGAATGGTCTAGATCAGAGGAGTGAGCACACTGTCAATACAGAGGGTCTTTTATCTGATGGATGGTCTAGATCGACCACTTGATTCTTCCAATTGTTAGAAATAAGCACTTAAGCAGGATAGTCAGCAATACATGTCTCTGTATGTACTTGCATGTGTTCACACTTAAGCTATATACAACAACATAGCCATGATTAGAAGGTATCTGTTTGCCATACTAACTCATAAACCTAAAACAAAGTAGTGTATCTAGCCTCAAATTGAGTCTAAAAAACAAGTGTGCACCTGTATATTAGTTTTTAAAACAATAGTATTTTTTTGCCATTTAACCGGGGATGTGCCCATATGGGATTCTTCATTGATACTAAAGACAACAAAATATGAAATTTATATGACTTGCAACAGAGCGTCCTCGAATTCAAAATGATATGGACAATCTCCAGTGGACAATAATTGATCTCATTAGAGCCAAGAAGAATGAGGTTAAGGATTTACTTCCTACTGTTGTGTCCAACATAACCACCAAAAGACACAGTTTACCTCCTCTTATTTCCCCTCAACAATATCAAATAGAAATAAATGAATAAATAAAGAAATTAGCAGAAAATGTATGCCAAAAAAAAAAAAAGAATCCCAACACCAACGGACGGGAGGGTGAAAACCCATCCCCAATGTCAGCTCCATGAAAAGTCCTTCAAAATAATAAATAAATAATTAAGAGAAAAATGATATATAAGTAATTAGTTAAGAAAGAATCGGCTTTGCCTGGAGATTCCATCAAATTCCCACTATAACTCTATAAGCTGAAAAGAAGAGGTAAATTTCAAACCAAAGAAATCACCCCAGGCTCTCTCCCACATAACCAAGCTCTCCTGGCCCTTTGGACAATCACTACTGATAGGCTTCCTTGCAAAAAGCAGTTCAAGGAGCACAACATCAAATTCATAGACATCAATTTTGTCATTACCTTTCCATACATGAAGAAGCTAGAGGATGAGATGATACAAACCTAAAAGTTCCCGCAACATCAGCATAAGTTATATGGGATGACGAGGAAGAAGCCCACTTAGCAAGTCCAAAATCTGATAGCTGATGAAACAATCAAGGATGACATGAGTAATGTCTTCCATTTACAACTGTAGTTAATCCAGAGGGGGGGGGTTAGAAAATTTTAAAAGAACAGCACCTGGGGCTCAAAATCATCAGAAAGAAGGATATTAGATGATTTCACGTCCCTATGGATTACAGCTTGATCACTTCGACTATGTAGGTAATCAATACTTCGGCAACACCCCGGGCCAATAGTGTTCAAGGCGCCAAGGCGAGGCTAGGCGACAGGGGGCACCTAGTCGCCTAGGCGATGGGATTTTTTTTTAAGTAAAAACATGTATCCTAGGGTAGTTCCCTAGGGTCCATATATTTCCTTAATAAATATCCATAATTTTCATAAGAAAAGTATAAACTTCATGTTAAAGTATAGAAAATCAACATATTCCAACATATTCATGAGAAGAAAAAGAAGAAAGAAAAGAAAATTTGAAAAATATTGGGGCTGAATCCCTATTTCTGTTATAGGAAAATGTGTTGATTGGACAACATTTTATGTTCTTTCTTACTTATTGGTTCAGGTTTTGAAGTCTTTGAGGGTTCAATACAGCATTTAGCAATGTTTGTGTTGATTAAACTCTAACAAATAAGAAAATAACAAAAAGAAATTAGTATATAAACACACAAAATGAATATTTTAGTTTAAAAATAGTTATTTTATAATTACAACCTCAAAAAATTAAGAATATAGAAGTTTGTTATAACACGCTATAGAAAACGGCTTGGTGAGACTCCAAGGGCGCCCTGTCACCGCTTAGGCACCCGGCTAGGAGTCGCCTTGACAACTATGACCACCTTATATTTATGGGATGAAGCAACAAAAACCCTGATGATTTGAGAAACCCTAACAGCAAAAGAACCTAGAAGTTCATGAAATAGATGAGAAATACTTAACCTTCTCCCAGTCATAGACATGTATTTGAAGAACTTGGGACTCAAAATCTTTCACAATAAGTTTAAAATCCTCGTTTCACTCAAGATCCAGGGTCTTTATCTTGACTGTTGTTTTGTTTGCTGGGAGGCTTTCACCACTGAATCTGAGTTTAACATATGAATCAGATGTTCCCAAGAAATCCATCTTCATGAGCTTAAGAGCCCATACAACCCTCGCATGTAATAGAGATAAAAATCAATGGAACCAGTGCCATCACATAGTCAGATACAGATTGATAGTACATCATTAAAACTCCCCTCCAGATGTTGCTCAATATTATGGAATTCTACCTGTTAGCTATTTAAATGGATAATAATGAAATGGCGTACAAAATTTTTAAAAGTAGATAAGATTATGAAACCCTCACCGTGCAAGGAAGATGCAAGGGTTAACTAATTATCAGGTGCATATCTCTCTTCTAATATTCAATAGAAAATAAATGTGGTGGCTAAGGGCAACAAAAGCAATAACTAATATGAAGTAAACCAAGCATAAAAAAGGAAACATAAACTCTAAGATTTTAATCATCAATATAGTTCCATATAATATCAATAATAATAATAATTTCTGCAAGCTGAAACATCTCGAAAGCAACAAAATGATACTCAATGTAAAGTCTTTTATTAAGCTGAAAATTGCTTTTTCTAACCTGGGTTCGGAGAACACCCGATGAAGTACAATAATGAATAAATATGGTTCTCCTGGCTTAGCGATGGGCTAAGGTAAAATCAATAAATCCAAGATACAGGGAGTTCGTTCTCTCTATAAAAGAAATATCTCAAAACCCCCAAAAATAATAATAATATAAAGCTTTTTTTAGAAACAATGACAAGGCACAGAAATGAAGAAGAAGAATCCATTTAGTGCATGGAGAATACACCCATTTCATAATAATATATATCGATTATATCATTAGATATAGATTTATTTTGTAGAATTTATTGGTGAGAAACAAAAATACTTCAAATAAAGTATTGAAGGAGAGAGAATGAGAGTTAATACCTTAATGAGAGGAAATTTAATGAAGTGAAAAGTAATAGTACGTTAAATTACATTTTTTGCCTTCTTAGTTAAAGAGGGATTAAATTCATAAATGGGGGTGTTTTAGTCAAGAAAAGTCCACAAAGCTCATTTATTTAATGTGCCTTAAATATAAGATTTAATGAAAGGAAATTCAACTTAATACCTTAAATATAGGACTTAATGGTGAGGAATATAATGAATTTGATAAAAGTACTAGTTAAAATTATGTTTTTTGCCCTCATAAATATAGGGAGATCAAGTTCGAAGGACAAAGGTATTTTAGTAAAAAAAATCCAGAATCTGTACCTCATTCACAGTTTTAATAGTAGTATAGATTATTCTTCATGTCTTCCATTTTTAATGAGATATTGTTGTGTATGTATGTACATACTAGCATGTGCACAGGTGGTGTAATCAAATAGAAGCCATTGGGTCCTGGGTCTGCTGGCAATTTTATGAGGCACAAGCTGCACTTCCCTGCTTCATTAAAAGCACTTACTATTTTCTTCTACAAATTCCAAAAGTTGGAAAAGTGAAAATTATCTTCATTACTGTCAAGTGTTCTGCAATCTGCATTCTTTTCATGCTTGCAAACCTTAGATAGCTGATGCATCTATTTGGGCTTGAAACTCACAATGCAGATGCTAAAAGCTCACAAAAGAAAGAATATGAAAGAGAAGAAAAGAAAAACTCCCATTAAGTCTATTATTACTTAGTTATATAGGTATCTCAAATTGCTGGCTTTATTAGCAGAGTTAAGCAGATGATCCAGTTTATCTGAAGAGTATGCTAAACTGAACTTTCCTCTGTTCTATTTATACAACTTTTGTTTGGAATCATGGTAAGGTTATTGTAATCTTAGTGGTTAAGTATCAATTCTATATTTTCTTTCATACCCTACTCCAGTCTTGAAGCTTCTTAGTCATGGCAGATCTTCTTGATCGAGGTTGGAGGAGATCTGGTGCTTTCCTTTATAAACCCGAGATGGAAAGGACATGTTGCCCTTCTTATACTATTCGTCTGAAGTCAGATGACTTTGTTCCTTCAAAAGAGCAACTTCGGGTATTGAGACGAATGCAAAGGTACCTTTCTTGCACCTCATCCATATATCCTCTTTTCTTGAAGTTCTAATTTCAGCCTTACATACAGAATGCTTTAATATTAGGGTTAAATACTTAAAACCACCCCTGCGATTTCTGACAAATACTTAAACCACCCCTCTGGTTTCTGAAATGACTCAATTTGGGCATGCCCTTTCTCATTTTCCAGTTCAGTCTGGCTCAAAGTGGCAGATCCTGTGTTGGCAGTGACGGCAGGATTGTGAGCACCAGTGTGTAGAAGGGCATTTAATAGAAGCTATCCTCTATTTGAAGGGTGTTTTTTACCACAAACGAGTAGTATTTGCCCTATTAAAACAGGCACATGATGTCATACGTGAACCGAATGTGACAGTCTACTAATGTGTAGTATTTGCCCTATTACATCATTCTACTACATGGGTACTAAGTCATTATAGAAACCAGAGTAGTGGTTTAAGTATTTGTCAGAAACCAAGGGGTAGTTTAAGTATTTAACCCTTAATTTTGTTAGGAGCTCCAATGCTTATCATGTATAGACTTAGGATGTTCAGTTGTCAAAATGCATTTCCATGTTATCAACTTATCATGCCTAGATTTTGGTTGATGTAATTGCCCCTAGAAGCTGGATAGTTTTGTTTAGAAATTTGAGGGATTTTTGGCTAAACTGAAAAAAAGATAATCCAACAGGACACAAGGGTTATATCCCCCATTTGGTAGCTCCAACCTTGGAGGACTCTTATGCCAAAAATTGGTCTTATCTGATTAGTCATCCATGGACTGTAATTGGCTATTTGTGATTTGTCATAATTCAAGCTGTTCAAAAGACCATATTATAAAGTGAGCCACTCATCCAATAGTGAGACTACAATTTTTGTTATACATCGGCAGGTGTATAATGATCAGTACATCACTGTTGAGGCATAACAATGGCCAGTTATTATGTAGTTCATTTGAGTTTTGATAGGTCAAACATGGATTTGGAAAAATGGTGGTTGTTTATACTACACAGTTACACAAATTTGCATGGTATGGCAATCTTGTTCAGGTCATATGAGTTTTGTAGGTCTAATGAGGTTTATTCAATCAGACCTGATTTACTTCCTAAAATAAAAAGGAAAGAGTGAAGAAGGGAGAAAGAAGGAGAAGAAAGGAAAGAGAAAGAGGGGAGAAGATGAAGAGATGGTTTGGCTGGTCTCCAGAAGAGAAAAATCAGTCTCCTAGCCCAGAATAATGTATGTATGTATGCCCCTGGACTGTTGACTTTAACACTCCCCTTCAAGCTAGAGAGTATATATCATATAATCCCATCTTTTTTGATAAATAAGAAAGATAAATTTCATTAATAGAAAACTAATGCAGTTACAAGCTTCCCGTGGAGAGGCACGACCTGCATCCTCTCCTAACAGTAGGAAGAAAGACAAAAGATAGAAAGCAGATTCAGTCTACAATTGAGCCCAATACAAACTTTCCCTATTTACCCCTTGCTGAGTTGCTGATCTCCCCACCCATTGTATTCTCTCTGTCAAACTCCTTGTTAGGCAGTTGAATTTTTTAATTTCATTCTTAAAACACCACACTATAGAGTCCGGGTTTTGTAACCATCCCACTACCACCTTGGAGTCCCCTTCTATTATCAACTGTTCCACACCTATCAGCCATACAAACTTTCCCTATCATATAATCCCATCTTGTTACATATATAATCCACTTTTCCCCGACTCAACTCTTTTGTAAACAAATCAGCAACTCATTCCCTGTGTTCATGTGTACCATATTTATCACTCCACTGAGCACTTTTTCTTTTACAAAATGATAGTTGACTTTTATGTGTTTTGTTCTCTCGTGGAAGACTGGATTAGATGCGATGTAAATTGTAGCTTGGTTGTCATAGTACAACTTCATAGGTTTATCCATGTGGAACCCGATTTCTTGTAGGAGATTCCTCAACCACACTAATTCACATGTAGTGTGTGCCATGGCTCTATATTCAGCTTCAGCACTACTTCTTGCTACAACTGTTTGTTTCTTGCTCTTCCATGTTACCATATTTCCTCTAAGAAAAGTACAATACCCTATAGTAGACCTTCTATCAGACAATGATCTGGCCCAATTTAGTAATCCACGACCTGGAGCCCCTTTCAAATATCGTACAATTCTCAAAACTGCATTCCAATGGGGAGGGAACTAGGGGCTTCTGCATAAACTGGTTGACTACACTCACTGCAAAGGAAATGCCTGGGTGAGTAATAGTTAAATAATTCAACTTACCCACTAACCTCCTATACCTCCCAGGATCATCAAATTCTTCACCTGCATCAGTGCTTAATTTGATGTTGGGCTCCATAGGTGTTTCGGCTGGTTTAGTACCTAAGAATCCTGTCTCTTCTAACAAGTCAAGCACATACTTCCTTTAACACAAATTTATGCCATGCTTTGACCTTGCAACTTCTATGCCCAGGAAGCATTTCAATTTGCCAAGATCTTTTGTCTGAAAGTGATCTTGCAAAAAAGCCTTCAATTTATCAATCCTCAACTTTTTTTTTTGATCAATCAATCCCCAACTTACCGCTACCTGTAATGACAATGTCATCTACATAAACCACCAACAGAACCTTTCTAGCTTCAGAATCATAGCTGAACACCGAATGATCAACCTGACATTGTTTCATATCGAAATCTTTAACTACCTCACTAAATCTACCAAACCAAGCATGTAGAGATTGTTTCAATCCGTAAATATCTTTCTCAAGTCTACACACCTTACCATCCTCCCCCTGAGCAAAAAACCTTGGTGGTTGCTTCATATACACTTCTTCACTAAGATCACCATGTAGGAAGGCATTTTTTGTGTCAAGCTGAAAACATAGCTGCAAAGGATATCAACAAACGAACTGAGCCAATCTTGGCAACACGAGAGAATGCCTCTGTATAATCCACACCATACAACTGAGAATACTCTTTGGCCACCAACCTAGCCTTTAGGTGCTCCATGCTTCCATCTGGCAAGTATTTGATAGTATACACCCACCAACCTACAACATGTTTACCAGGAGGGAGAGTGGTGAGCTCCCACGTGTAATTATGATCAAGGGCTGAGAGTTCCTCTTCCATTGCTTAGTGCCACTCTGGGGAGGTAATAGCTTCATGGACATTCCTAGGAATAGAAACAATAGACAAAAGGGAAACGAATCAACGATGGAAAACAGAAAGATGAGAGACAGAAACATAGTTAGAAATAGGATGCAAATTTCAACTACGTTTACCTTTATGCAAGGCAATGGCAAGATCAAGGTTAGACTGAGAAGGCACCACAGGGTTAGGAACAACTGCCGGATCTATTGATAGAGAAGAAACTAGAGGAGCCGATATCTGTCGATGCGTATACACGTGCCTGATAGGTGGTCACTTAGTAGGATCCTGTAGTGGAGGAGATGAAGACTTGGGAGCAACAAGAATAAGAGGAATGGGGTCGTCAACAGGAACTTGAAGTGGAAGCATAGGAGATGAAGAAGAAACATCACTATTTGTAAAGAATGGAACATACTCAAAGAAGGTGACATCAGGGCACACAAAGGAACGTTGAGAAGAAGGATTATAACACTTATAGCCCTTCTATGTCTAAGAGTAGCCAAGAAAGATACACTTTGTAGAGCGTGCATCTAACTTGTCCATCCCCGAGCGTAGATTATGAACAAAGCATGCACACCCAAAAACCCTGGGAATAAGAGGAAATGGAGCAACATAGGAAACAAGACGGAGAAGGGAGATTGGCCTTCAAGGATAGACAATGGCATCCGATTAATGAGAAAACAAGTTGTAAGAACAACATCAGTCCAAAAATGTTTAGGAGCACTCATTTTGTTGTGGTGTATAGGTGCAAGAGGTTTGATGGATGGTCCTGTGTTGTTGTAAGTATTCTTGAAATGGGGTATAAAAGTGTTATTTCCCATTGTTAGAACAAAGAATTTTAATGTGAACACCAAATTGAGTGCGAATTTCAACATACAATTTTTGAAAAATGGTGACCAATTCACTCTTTTCTTTGATAAGATAAAGCCATGCCATCCTTAAATAATCATCAACACAAATTCCAAAGTACTTATAACCATTGTACGACACAACTTTGTTTGGACCCTAAATATCATAATGGACTAAAGAAAAAGGACTCAAACTATGACTATTGACTCTAGGAGTAAAGGAAACTCGATGATGTTTCTCATACTAATACAACTCACATTCCAATGAAGAAAGACGACTGCATGACAGAACAAGTAATTGAAGTGTCGTGAGAGAAGGATGACCAAGTTTGCAATGCCATTGGAGAGGTGTAAGAGAGGATTGAGAGCTATTGTCGAACCACCACCATCAAGATAATACAATCCACCAGCTTCATGCCCTCCACCAATCTTCATCCCCTTGGGATCCTGAAAAACACAAAGAAGGTTACAAAACAATTTAGAGATTTCGTTAATTTGCTAACAAAAATAAGACTGAAAGGGAATTTGGGCACCTACAAAACTTAAGATAAGGACAATGATGCAATGTCTACATTGCCAACACCATAAATAGGAGAGGTAGAACTATTAGCTAAAGTGACTATTTGTGATAGAGAAGATGGAGAAAGGGAGGAAAACAAACCTGGAGTCCCAGTCATATGATCGGAAGCTCCAAAATCGATAATCTAGGGTGAAGGTTTAGAAGCTAGACAAGTCATAACTAAGTGGGCAACAGTAGTCGTATTCTGTTGGGAAGTAGCCTGAAGAAATCTTTCATACTCATCATGTGAAATACTCTCCTTCACAGAGGCACTAGTAGATGTAGAAAGTGCTTGGTTAGTTTGTTGCGTATCAACTGCTTCACCACTTCTTGTTGCTGCATGATTGGCCCATGTAGAAGGTGGTCCATGTAGATCATAGGAAAAATTAACAGTGTGTCCTTCCATCCCACAATGTGTACGCTTCCTAGGCCCATAACTGCGACCTTTACGACGACCTCCCCCTGAGTCTTGACCTCCACCACATCCACCACCATGATGCAACATGGGTCCACCACGACCTCCCCCTCGCATGACTGCAAAGGCTGATCTATTTGAGACTATTGGACTCTCTGAAGACCCAATATTAATCCTATGGAGTCGTGCAAACACCTCCTCAAGAGAGGGAAGAGTAGAGCCTCCTAGAATTTGAGCTCTAACTGGTTCGTACTCAGCCTTCAAACACACTAAAAATCTGGTCACATCTAGTTTCTCCCTTTGTTTCTGCTGAATTTTAACATCTGATGTCAAAGGATGATAGATATTTAGCTCATTCTGAAGGTTCTTCATGCTAGCATAATACTCCTCAAGTGTCTGATTTCCTTGTTGTAAATTAAAATATTCTTGATAGAGCTGATATACCCTTATAGTATTATCTTGTCTAGAATAGATCTTCTTGGCATGATCCAATATCTCCTTAGCTATATCAAGAAACATAAAATTCACACTGATTTTGGGTTCCATACTATTCCACAACCATGTCATAATCTGTGCATCTTCTTGTTCCCAATCACTATGTCCTTGGGAATCAATTGAGGGTTTTTCTTCTTTCACATGTTTCACCTTCTTCTTGGCTCTAAGAAGGTTCTCCACTGACTTGGCCAATGCTATATAATTCTCACCATTCAGCTTGATAGATGTTATCTGTACATTAAGAAAATCAGAGGGAATCATAACACTGGATTTTTTATTAGTGTTCTCTCCTAGGGTTGTCATGGGTAATTGGGTATATAAAAAGGAATAAAAAACTTCACTTCACAGCACCACACTATACCACAACCAATCAATTACGACTGAAACATGTGCTGTAACTAATTACACACACAGAAACTCAGAAACATGTTCTTTAACAGGTTTCAGCATTGTTCTCATACCTATCACTCACTCCCATTAACAAGAAACATTCGGAAAATTACTTCTTATACATACCTGTTAATAGGCCAACTACAAGAAGTCAAGAAATCCACAACTGTGACCTTTCAGATCATTGGAACACCCCAAACGAACTGTTGCACACAAACTGATCACTTACAGTCCCTCTTTGATACATTGACTAGAGGATTTCTCTGAAACTCCACTGAGACAGAACTTTCTACTGCAATTGGAGGCATGGATACCTCCCTAGACAAGAAACGACCACTCATTTTTATTATCTCTTCGATCCTCCAGGTAATCACCAAGAAACCTCAAAGTCAATGTGCTGAAGGTGCTGAGAAGAAAAAAAATCTGGGAAGAAAATCAGGGCTGTGATACCATATTAGTTATTCGATCAGACCTGATTTACTTCCTGAAATAAAAAGGAAAGAGAGAAGGGAGAAAGAAGGAGAAGAAGGGAGGAAGAGAGGAAAGTGGAGAAGATGAAGAGATGGTTCGGCTGGTCTCCAGAAGAGAAAAATCAGTCTCCCAGCCGACCAGAATACTATATATATATATTTATATTTCTAACTTTAATTACAAAGACCTTTGTGTCCCTCTTTATGTATGGGCACTCTATTCAATCTTTGACACAATAGACAAAACAACTTAAACTAAAACATTATGGAATGACTCAAATACCACTGGTCTATCGACTCTAACAGTTACAACATACAAAATCTTTGAGTGGTAATGGTTATCTTCTTTCCAGTGATTAATCACAGGAGGAGGTTCTGATATATCAGACAATTATGATTTTTTTGATAACTTATCAGACAATAATGATTGTTCTTATGTTTTTGTTGTTAGATTATTCTTATTCTGTATGCAGTTGTACCTTGTACTTCCTCTGAACTTATTACTTCTAACCTAATTTCCAGGTTTCTGGATGGCATGTTAAATGTAAAAAAGCCACATCCATTAATGGATGAGCAAAATACTTGTAAACAATCACGTGGCTCCTCCAGTGAAGAAGTTTCAAGCTTAGTGACAAAGAAATCCTGTTCTGAAAATTCCGAAGAAAAGAATAAGGAAGAACAATTGATGCATTATTTGTCAAACCAAATTGATAATGTTGTTTGTGCATGTGCTGGAAGTGGTGAGTTTCCTTCGAATATTCAACTACCGAAGGCTTCTGTCAAAAAGGTCTCATTGGCTAAAAGGAAACACATCGAGGGATCTGAAAGTCTCCTATATACCAGCAGCATTTCATTTCAGATAGTAGCAGCCTTAAGACGGTCTAAATCAACAGAAAAGGATGCAAATGAGTTAGGTTTATCAGGAGATGCTGTTGATCAAAATGGGCAATCTTCTGAGCTTTCGCCAAATACTGTTGCAGAAAAGCTGGCACATTCTTTAAATCAGCTTGGAGAAGATTCTGGTTTCTTAATCAGGGCTTGCAATGGCCACCTTAACTTTTATTCAGTTACTGGAAAACCCTCTTTAGGTGAAGGGTCTACAACTGTAGATGCATCTAGATGTTCTCCCAAAGGCAGTGGTGGAAAATGCAGTTTTGTGGAAAACAACCTACATCTTCCACAAAAAAGACGTAGGTTTGAGATACATTTGAAAAGGTCAAGTTTTGATCCAGAGGAATATGCTTTGTATCGGAGATATCAAATTAAAGTGCACAATGAAAAACCTGATCAAGTTAAGGAAAGCTCTTACAAAAGTTTTTTGGTTGACACTCCCATAATATTTGTCCCACCATCCGGTGACAGTACAGTTCCACCTTGTGGATTTGGTTCTTTCCATCAACAATATGTGATGGATGGGAAACTTGTTGCAGTTGGTGTAGTGGATATCCTTCCAAGATGTTTGTCTAGTAAATATTTATTCTGGGATCCAGACTTTGCCTTCCTATCACTAGGCAAGTACTCAGCCCTGAAAGAGATTGATTGGGTAAAAGAGAACCAGTTACATTGTCCTAGTCTTCAATATTATTATCTTGGTTATTACATTCACTCCTGCAGAAAGATGAGATACAAAGCAGCATACCATCCATCTGAACTTCTCTGTCCTGTTCGCTACCAGTAAGTTTTCTTTCCTTCACAACCAACCTACCTTTTTCTGTTGCTGGATCTATGAAATGGGTTCTGAATCTTTGAAGTTTTGAAAAGGAAATGCAATATCTTACAAATATATGGCTCCTTAATTTAGAGAAAAAATTGTGTCTTCACTTTATGGTTTACTCTTGGTGTATTAGATACGTAGTGTGTCATTTATGTTGCTCTGTTGCATGAGGAAATATATTATAAACCAAGTCTATGATCTTCAAGCAATCCTATTGCCCCATATCATATACATGGTCTCCCAGTTCATTTATCTAAACAGTATTTGATGGAGTACCTCTTAAGGAAATTGTTGACATTACAAGGCAGCTGAAAGCCTGAAACTTGAATGACTAGAAAATAAGGCTAGATGTAAGCAATAATTCATACATTAATATGTTGGAAGTGCTAAGTTCTTAAGCTAGCCTTGGGAAGGAGGCGTCCATGTATTGAACAGTTCAAATCATGGTAGGGAATTGTAGTAGTAATCTGCAGTCTTGACGCTAGTGGTATGCACTTACTCAAGATGCTTGCAAATCATTTTAGTTGTCATGTGGTCATTGCATTTCTGCAATTTCCACCTTTGTTTCCTTGATATCCAGTAGTTGATGATAGTTTCAAACTATTAGGGAGATTAAACTCCTGGATATCCTTCTTTCCTCAGAATTAGTTTGCGACGTGGCTCAATGATGGGCACACATATTTGATATTTCCTAAATTTTCTGAACATGTTTCAATTCAAACACCATATATAAAAAAAAGAGCATATCGAATGTGTCATTTGTACATGATACTTTTAATCATTTGGTGCTTATTCAAATCTGCTCTGACATTGCTCAAAGGGATGAACTTATCCATCAAAAACTTCATCGTGACAAAGGTTTTATGTTTTGATACGTATTGCCTAATAGTAGTGTTTTTTCACAGTATGGGCATGTGACACAATAGGAATGGCCCAGTTTTGGTTCCATTTTTTCTGTATCATAGGTTATCACTCCGATATGGACTGATATGTTACACACCTGTGATATGTACCAGTTTCCTCTCCACGTTTTTAAATTTCATTTTTTAATTTCAAATATTATATCAGATCCAGCTATTATAGGCTTTATCAGTGTGCTTTGCTATTAATACATCCGCCATAATGGGCTTCACTATTAATATATCACTGTTAACATGCTTTTAGAAACCCAATATTAATAGGAAAATGTAAAGCAAAATCATATATTATTAGCAAATAACAGGGATTGAACCTGGGTTTCTTGCATGAAAAATGGATATGCTTACCTACATTGATGTGTTTATATTTGAGATAATTTGGATTTAAACTGTAGTGCCATATCAATTAGAAAAATAGAACAAAGGAAATAAATGAAGAAAAGTTTACTGATAACTATTATTTTGTATGTGCAACTAAATTTAGTATTTTTTAAGCATTAGTAAGATTTATATTGTTTTCCTAAGCATATACATGCATATTTTAATTTCTCCATCATGTCCCAACATTTTCTAATGGTATCCTAATAGTACACATGCCATAGAAACCATTAAAATTTACGTTTCTTATGTGTTTATTCTTTGTTTATAATCAGTTAAGAAATAGATTTAGTGCTATTTATGTGTTTTTAAGGTTTATTATCATTTATGTGTTTATACCTTGTGTGTATCTTAATTTCTCCACTGATGTTACGAAAGTGAGGGGTGGGGTGCGAGAAAAGCACAAGGGCCTTCTAGTGCCCTGAGGCACAAGGCACAAAGCAAGGTGCAAACATGGATGAGGCAAGACACAATCTTTTGAAAAAAGTTCAAAAGAAAACATAAAAAATAAAGAAACTTGAATTTTAAAAGGTTCAAATGTTTTAAAAAGATTTCATCTCAAAGACTCAAACCAAAATACAATAGCTTATTAGCTCAAATTATAAGTGGTGACAAGTTGGCTGCAAAGAAATCAAGAGGGTCCATGAAAATATAGGCATGCAATTAGGGAGGTAAAAAACATTTTGAATGACCTAAGTGCTACAGTTGCTTGAGGTCTGCTAATGCTTTGGTAGACTCTCTAGCAAAGTAAGGGGAAATGAGGAATTAATTGTTTTGGGGCCTAGTTCCGGGGGGGGGGTGGAAAGTTCTGCATTGAAATGCTTTGATTGGATAACCATAGCTAATCATCAAACTGGGTTCTGTTTTGAAGCATCTTGTTATTTCTATCAATAAAGTAATTCTATTATTCAAAAATAGAAGAAAAAACATAATAGCATAACATATAAACAAATTCAAAGTGAAAGTGAAAGCCGACACATGTGGGTCGTACCTAAGTCCTTCAACCATTCATCAATTCAAGTATGTAAAACTCTACATATTTGTTTGCCTCCTAGTTGCATTTCTTGAAGTAGCTAACATGATGTTAGACGTCTCACATTCCAAATCCTTGGAGGTTGAGGCGTTTATAGAGGTGGAAGGCTAATAGGCCTGAAGCTAGAGAAAAGGCCCCTTGAGTCACCTGGCCCAAAATTTGGCCCGTATATAATGTAGTTGGTTTTGTGATTTTAGTCACAGTTCATTTTATTTTAGGGTTAGGGACCAGAGATGTATCGTTTGTTACTTTAGTGAAAAGTATCCTTACACAATAACTAGAGTTTCGAGTATTCAAAGGTCTTCTTTTTGTTTCTTTTACAAGCTAATAGACCGTTACAAAGGTATAAAATGCATATCCTATAAAAAAAAGGTATAAAATGCATAAGAATGTATAAAGAAGTAAAAAAGCAAACTTATAAAAGGGTTCACTGGTTGAGGTGCAAGGCACATACAGTGTGCGCCTTTAGAAGGGGCATTGCCTGGATTCAAGTGAGGTGCATGCCTTAAAATGCACAGTGCTTGTGTGGCTAGGTGTTCCTTTTAAAAAATTCTTTCCATCATATCCTTGTGTTTCCAAGGAGTATTCCAGTACGCCTCTTAAAATTATCTTTCAAATACTCTATGATACTTGAACTTTGACTGCAACTAAATAAATATCTTGACAAAACTTAATATTGGAAAACAACATGGAAGCGGGATCTTGGAAGTACAGGAATGGAGTGCTGGAGAATCTAAAATTATCTATAGAAACTGAAGCTTAATTCCGATGGACTCCAACATCTGACATTTAGCTGACAGCTTAGCAAAATCTGGGGTTTATAGAAACATGTATTGGGGTACAGAACCATGCTGAAAAAAATTAGCAAAGAAAGGGGTGAATGGGGTGCACTTATATTTGGTTTAATCGTAATTTGAATCTACTTTGTATTTTGTAATGTGATAGGTTGCACCTCGTGCCTCTCAATGGCAAGGTTCAAAATTTCGTAACATATTGGCTCGTATCAGCCTATACGTATCATATTGGTAGGTCACCAATACACTTATTTCAAGGAATTCTTGAAAAATGTTTATTTTATGTGTTAAATAATCTTATTCCCAACTCCTTGAAATTTTGAAACAAAAAAAAAAAAAACTAAAAAATATGTGTGAAGCTCAAAATCCCAATAAACCTGTTCTGATGTATTGGGGTGTATTGAAATTTTGAACCATGCTCCAAGGGAATATTATTCTGGTTGTACTCTTTGATGTTTCTTTTTAAAACAAAAGAAAAGGTTGTCATGCACTCTCTCTAGATTTCTCCCTCCAAACAACTAGGTCAGTTGGCTAATGTGTTTTAAAAGGCATGGGAAGTGTATGCCTAGAGGCATGCCTCCAGGTAAGGTGCCCCCAAAATGCCCTGAAGCATATGTCAGGCGTTGGTGCCTCGAGGTTGTGATGCCTTGATGCCCCTCTTTCAGTTAGTTTTATGCATCTTCATTCTTCTGTCATAGAAGAAAAAAAAAGGATGTGATCCTCCTTCCTCTTCTTCGCCCTCCTCTTCTTTCTTCCTCCTCATCCCCCCACCTGAACTATGCCTCACACCTCCAGGTAGTGGAACGCCTCGCATCATGTCTCCATGTTTTAAAACATTGGCTGACTTTGGATGACACTCAACTTTTTTGGCTGTGCTGAGCATTGAGGTGTAGTTTTCCATTTGTCAAAGGCATGGGCTAGGTGTGGTCAAGGTTTTAAATTGTGTGAAAGTTTACCATTTCATTCATGCTAACCCAAATGAAATTTTCCAAAAATTTGGAAATTTAACTGCTATAATTATATTTATTCTATATATACGGACTATATATATTATGGTTAAAAGGGCCATTAACCAATGTTAGTCCTGGCTCTCTGTGGTCTTGGAAGGGGTAAACTGGGCATAAACCTAACCTTTGGCATTTTTTGAACAAAGTAGCTGTTATATGCTTCTCACTCTTGTCAGTTTGACCATTGCACCAAAGAATGACCTTTATATATAGTTAATCTATATAAATTCTGTAAATTTGTATTATATATTTATTGCATATTTTATTGGTTTTGCCCAAAATACCTCAAAATTGTAGTATGATTTGTCCAAGGTCATGAATCTATCTACCATGTTCCTGCATTTTTTATCAGCCAAGAAGCATGAAATTCAATGATTAAATTGAAGTTTGAAACTGACATAGCCTTGCCTCTAAGACTCTAAGATGGCATAAGATAGAAGCAACAGATTTCACTGATCCATTATCTCTTCATTAATACATTGCATTGCATTTGTTCCTTTCCCATCTGATATACTCCAATGCAACTCTTGTGTAGTTAAACCACATTTATACATGTTCTGCATTTTACAACCTCCAGCACTTAAACCACAATAATACCGAACTTCTTGTTGAATAGCTTTCTCAGGCTCTTGCTTTATATAATTATTTCTATGATAAATGCTGAAATATGTTATGCAGGTGGGTACCTTTTGCTATTGCAAAGCCTTTGCTTGACAAAAAGAAGTATGTAGTCTTGTCAGATTTTCCCAGTCTACAAAATGGTGAGTGCTCACCAAATCAGGTTCCAGAGAATGTCATTGAACAACAGCATCATGATCCTAATCAAGAAAACTCAAGTTTAATTCTCAGTGATGAAGATGAGGATATGGCAGAAGCTGAATTTGACGCCTATGATGATGATTCAGAGATAGAAACCACTGATCTGACAGATGATGAAATAACAGATGGTGATGTCAGTAATACCATGATTGATCTGGATGGCTTGCGTTTCAGATTTAGGGTATGAATGCCTTTGTATACTCTAATGGATGCTTAACATCTGTGATTCTTTGAAGTCTGAAGATTCTGGGCTATCAATTTCTTTTGTGCAAAGGATTTCTTTATTGTCAGGCAGGGTCCTTGAAATGTTGGATCCTCATCATTTTTTCTTCTTTTACCTATTTGAGTCTTTTATCCAAAAACAGACTCCATAACTAATTTCTGATCACTTGTACAAATCAGCCAATGGGTCAGACTATATTGGGCTGACAAGTGTGGAAATGTGGGACAGGGGTTCAAGTCTGAGAGCAACCACCTTACGCAAAAAGAAATGTTATTGTTAAAGGCTAGGTCCATATCCAGTCCCCTCCCCCCCCTCCCAAGACCCCAGATGGCTGGGACCAACATTAGATAATGGCCTTATAATTATTTCTGAAGGGACCATAACCATCTTTTTTTGCAACTCTCTTTTCTTGATCTGGTGGTTTCTTGACTTAGTATACTATTTATCATCTGCATTCTCTTCAACTCCTGTCCTATGCATCGACCCTGGTAGAATTTCTCATCAACTTCTCAAGTGGCAGGTCTACTTGAGTTTTAATTAGCATTGTTAAATGACTCTATTGTTTCTATGCTAGCTAATTAATTGAGATTTTATGTTCAAGTAGCTGCTTGGTTAAAGTAAATATTCCTTTTGAATCTTATTTGATCCTTCTTTCTTTAAATGGGTATGTATGTATGTGTGTGTGTGTGTGTATACATATACTGTGCTTTTTTACGATTTTGAAATGCCTAGGTGGATTTTTATTTGTGTTTGGGCAGTAGTAAGATAAGCATGCTTCAAATTGATTGGTGATGCTCTCATTTTTGTAAAGAAAAATAGTATATTACATTCTGCACATAAATATATTGATAAAATTTGGAAATTTTGTAGATTTACTTTGCAAGGATTTTTTTTTTTTTTGACAAGTTACTTTGCAAGGACTTTTTCTATCTGAATCTTGGACTCTTTGAATGACTTGTCAGTATTCCATTCAGGATCACCAGTTGAATGGAGTACTATATGCATTAATTAGTGAGCAATGTGAAATAATAAAGATAAAGGGTAAAGTGGAATCTGAGATAATAAACGGAGGATCTGAAATTGAGTAACCTTTCTGAATGTTTCTTTTCCTGCATGTTATTGTGTGGCACTGTGATTCCATTTGACATTATGTTTTTTTTTTCATCTGAAGGATCTCCAACGAAACATTGACCCCGAGAAAAAGGATTTCTTGGAACTTCAGTTGCACAGATACAAGAGAGTGGTTGGCCCTAAACTCTTGGAGCGCATGATTTATTCACTCAGGTAATTTGGCATTTTACACTACCTTATTGGTTTCCTTCATGAAGCGAAGGTACATTCAAGAATCAGTGACGAAAGTGCTGCCCAGGTCAAGAACATTTCCTGAAATCAAGGTGATTGCTAAAAGAAGGCACCGCCGAATGTTATGTTTATCTTCTTTCTGGGCTTGTTTTCTTGATCCACATTCTAAGTGAGGTACAGATTCTAATTCTTGTTTCTTTGCTGTCCATTATGTTATTGGTTTTTTGATGGGGCTATACCCTGAATGAGATTAGGGTATAGGGATTTGAACGGAACTTGTTATGAGTTGTCTCAATGAGTCAATTGAAGTGAAGCCCAAAGAGGGAACAGATAGGGTGTGCATATATTTTATCCCAGTAATTTCATACCAATTGAAGGGTCTGTATGAGTTTATTAGGCGATAGCTGCAATACTGAATGACATTTGAATCTTGTGCATTTGTGCATGCGCACGTGCACTTTTACAGGATTCATTTGATCCAGGTCTCTCCATTGGTAGTTTCCTTGCTCTCTTTCATTGGATGTCACCTACCTCTCTCTATCTCCGAAACGTTCCTTTTGTGGGAGCAATGGTGATGTATCGTGCACCAAAACGAAGGGTAATGTTACCTTGGCTAATAGTTGGAGGCAGAGATAGTAGAGTTTGCTTATAGCAAATATATGCATACTTGTACAATGACTAAAAGTAGCGCCAAGTTCCATGGCCGGCTAAGCTCCTCTAATCACAAAAAATGATAATCAGGTCATAACCCTATATTATCAGCACATATACCCTTAGTTTATCCTTTATCCTTTTGTGATTCGAGGTCCATACTCCATAGCCAGATGCTAACTATAGCTTTATCATTCTTCGTGACGAATATATATGTCAATTCATCGAACCTTATTTGGAGCAATTAGGATTGCACTTTTTTTCCGTAGTATCCTAAAATTCTCAAGACCCTTGTTTCTATTAAAATAACGAGTCAGATTTTAAGCTTCTCTCTTTCCTCTCTAACTAATTTTACTTTTTCTGTTTTAATTGTATAGTATAGAACTTACCTATAGAAATGATAAAACGAGAGAAAATAGGCTAAGATGGTTTGGTCACGTGCACAGAATACCACCAACAGTTACAGGTGAAAGGACTAGAAGAGGTAGGGGTAAACCAAAAAGAACATGGGTAAATATAGCAACAAATGATTTATGCACTGATAATTTAATAGTGTATTGTTTTAAATAGAATTGATTGGTGAAACAGGATGTCATTCATGTAGCCGGTTTCGTATAGTTGGGTTAAGGCATGGATGATGATGAACTTACCTATAGAAGCATGTTTCTATTATACTGTCCAATGATCAAAATTTTGTTACATATTGACCGGAGCCTTCCCGATACATCCCTACAGGGGTGTTTCGGGTCGAAGAGTGGTTCAGGGGGTAGACCAGTCCCGCTGAACCAGATTCGGGAAAAAAAATACCGATACAGGCCGATATGCCCTACTGTATCACCCTGTATCGATATTTTGAACCTTGATACTGTAATTTGTGCCAATTTCTTTTCCATGAATAGGTGAAAGAAACCTGGAGACATTTTTTTGAATGCCACTGAACTATGTTACATTTTATTCTGGTTTAGGTAAGGTAAGGTGGTGTGAACTGGAGACATCTTTTTTGAATTCCACTGAATTATGCAACTTTTTATTGTGGTTTAGGTAAGCTAAGGTGGTGTTCGCCAATGTGAATGGTTTTGTTTTGTAGAACAAAAACAATTACCACATCAGCAAAGTGTATTGGTTTTGCTGATAAGGCAGCTGTTTTATTTCAAAAAACAAAACCATTCAGATTGGTGAATACTCCCTACATGATCGCCAATCTGACTAGTGAAAGGTTCCCTAGATGTGTTAATATCGTTATATTGGTTTGTTAATGACTGGTATTGTTTTATATGACAAGTATTTTAACCATTGAAACTAATTTTTATTACTTGCACCACAACCAAGGCAAATCTCTGCTATAGATTATGACATTAAAAGTCGAAACAATGCGATATGTTTTTTATTATTATTATTATTTTTACGTGAAGAAGTGTTTTTCACTTTTTTGTGAAGGGGTGAAAGACAGCTTAAATGCTTTTAGTTTCAATTCATTTCTGCTCTGCCTCTTTTTCAATGATAAACGATGGAACCCGTTTTATCAAAAAACGAAAAAAAAAACGATGGAACCCAATGCGTTGGCAGAAATGTGATGTGCTCCAATTAGAGTTGACACTTGAGTTCTGATTACAATTGGGTTCGGACTGGTTTTACCTGTTCCGACCTAATTAAAATCCAAACTGATCATGTATTAAGACATGACAATTATCTTCAACGTTTTCTACATGTTTTTTTTTCTTCTTACCGTGCAACAATTGACACTTTATAAGGAAATATAAGATAATTTTTGAGGAGAAAAATATTAGTAGGTTTATTGTCAAAATTAAGATAACCAATCAACCTGTATCATAAAACTATCAATTAGTATTCATCGAAATTTACAAACTGATGGTGGCTCAGTTGGTATGGTCTTTGACTTGTAGGCTAGTAGTAAAGACATGGGATCAAATCAAAGTTGGGGGGAGAGGATCAAGGGGATGGGGGATGGGTTACACCTGTCATGAATTTTTATTTATTTATTTTATTTTATTTTGTAAAACCCCTACTCATCAGTCATCACCCACCTATCCCCTTGATTGTGTCAGGTTCCCCCACCTCACAGTGACAAATTTGGAAGGTGGGGGAATTAATAATTTGCCCAAAAAAGATATTCATCAAAATACGCTGGGGAAAGGGTGGTGCAGGTTGGAAATCATTCACGTTTAGAGAAGTTATAAAGAAAAGAACTTAACTTGAAAGTAAGAACAATTCTTCTTAAGAAAAAAATAAACAGAACTGCTTTTTCACATAGACTAAGATTACACCTTATGCCTCCTATAAGAAAGTTTTTTAATCTAACTTGCTATTCTTTAGTAGAAGCCAAATAAATCTTTACTTTGAACAAAAGTCCTAATTGAAGACAAATTTAAAAATTTTGCTATAATGCTAGCTTATTAAATGCAAATTAAGATGAGTTGTTGGAACCAATTTGGTAAATACAAATTATGATGGGTTGTTGGATACAGCTTGGTAAATGCATACTTAGTTGGACCAGTGGTGTCATACCAGTTTCTAGGAACGGTAATGGGGTGGGGCATCCCCTCCCCATCCTTGCCTCGTAGCCAATATACCTCTTCCCTGCCCTGTCAAAACCGGACCGGACCGGATGATTTTGGTCAGCAAACCACTGAAGTGGGCGCTTAACCGTTCAAATCATTCGAACGGTTGACTTTTTTATTTTTTTTGTCAAAATGGGCCGAGCATTTGGTTTGAATGATTGGATCATTGACCCGGTAACCGAATCACCAGGTCAGTTTTAAAAACCATGAACGATGATGTGTATAAGACCTACCTCTCAGGAAAGCTTGAGAGCATAGAAAAGAACAAAAGCTTCAGCCTTTTCAGCAGAAACCACTGACAACCGAATAATCTACCTAAGACAAACTCTCCCTTGTTAAACATATTTGTTGGACTTTGCAATGTGGGAGAGCATTTCCAAAATTTGTGCGTCACGCCTCTAATGTACAAGAAAATATATTGGTTTCTAAAGATACATAGTGGGGGCGCATTGGTCCACATACTCTAATTTTGAATAGCTTGAACAGTTGAACCCAACCCAATCCCAATATCCGAACGAGTCCAGATTTTCTCACACTAATCTCACAGCATGTATCAGTTACATACTTGTATGTTATTATTTATTAGAGATGTTTCTAATACATGGTGAAATATGACTGTAAAATCGGTGTAACAGCACTTATAGAAATAAGGTTGTTGGTGCAAAGAGTCGTCTGATCTGGCATGAAATGGGGGATTAATATAAGGTAGATTCCAAGAGACTACATGAGGTTGGGGTGAGTCTTAAGTGAGTATAGAGTTGGTAAAAATTATAGATTATTCGAGCATAAATCTTGGTAATTCATAATATAGTTCAATGCTAATGCAGTTTACTTTGTGTCATTGGCTCATTGCTTCCATTAAATCTCGCTTTTCTATCCACATAATAATCCACTATACAGCCCTAAAGTAATCTTTGCAAAATAGCCTCTAAGGAATTCCAACCCTACAAGTTATTTTCTTGTAATGTCATGCACATTAATGGTGGTGTCCTTGGGTGGACTGGACGTGATAGGGTGTCCAGTCTGATTGATAGTTCTGACCTTTGAGATTGATACAATGCTTTGAATCTCTATTATCAGAGGAGACCTGAGACCGTATCTTTTGTGAACTGAGGGAGAAATATTCGAATGCTAAGGTTTTCATACAATGATCTTGAATTGCAATATATTCATTTGCACTAGTACAAATGCAGTGCACATGAGAAGAAAGAAAGTTCTGGTCCACTTTTGCTTTGGATTTTATTTTACTTCATCTGCAATCCAAACAAACAAAATAAGGAAAAGGTTGAAACAAGAAGAAATCAGAATTTGCACACACGTACATACTTTCGCACCAGTGCAAATAAAATTGCACTGAAAGCAAACCAGGCCTTGTCAAAATTTTTATGGGGGTATACACAACATGGTTGCTTTTGTAATGCCTAACAACATCAGCAAAAAACAAAACCATCTTGTCGAACACCCCCTATGATAGGTGTGAGATATTAAAACATTTCAATTTGTCCTATTGGCTTGGGCCATAAACACAACTTACTTGGGAGGGAGAAAGACAAAGAACTTCTGCCCTAAGATCTAACAAAACTAATCCAACTCAAGGCACAAGTATGAATTCCATTTTGTTATTTTCTTATTCAGGATATATACAGATCACCTTACTCCAAAAATATAGAACTTTGTGATAGAACCATGGTTTTTAAAACTGACCCGAAACTGAACCGGTCAGGGGTCCAGTTACCGGGTCAAACGGTCCGACCATTTGAACCGAACAGTCGGGCCGTTAACCACCCGGGTCAGCGGTTTGCTGGCCAAAATCAATGGATTTTGAAGAAAATCCGGTTTTGAGGAAACCAAAACTGGTCACCTGACTGGTTCCCCGTTTTTCCAGTCCAACCATCCGGTCCGATCCAGTTTTGAAAACCATGGATAGAACCCGATTTATTAATCCTGCCCTGTTCAACCTTCATGTCAGTTTTTGAAGATACCAGTATTACAGTCCACCCCACAAGGGGAGTCCTTGTCTCTGATAAGGATAACTCAAGCCATGGAAAAAGAACCATGCTAGTAAAGAGGGAAGTAGTGGAGGTTAATTTCATTCAGTTGGGTTTGTTTTACCTTGGTGCAAGCTAAACAGGAGACGGATATCTTTACATTTGAGTTTGGCATCTAAAACTAACTGCTCTTGCTGGTTTAGGGGGCTTAAGAAGACAAATGCCTGGATCCAAAATCTCCTAGACTGACACAGCTAGAATTTAAAGAAAACATTGGCTCAGGTCTGTAGGCGAAGGACCGTTAGTTGGAACATCCAAATGTGTATTTTTCATAGGAGAAATCTCTTGCTGGATGGATAATCTAGGTTGGATAGTTCAACATGGTACTACACATCCAAAATACTGCATAATACGTGCATATACTAAGAAGAAAATACCTAATTGTAGCATTCACCCTGATCAGATCCAAATGGAGAACCAGAAATCATAAATGCTACATCTTTCTTTTCCTTAAGCCAGTGAGACAAAATGATATGACAATAGCAGCAAGGGCATAAGCATTGTGACTGGACTGTAATAAACAGTCACCAACCACCTTAAAGCTGGGTACTTGGGGGGGTTAAGATTGTAGGATCTTCAGCACTAACATACCCATCCAGTACACTAGTTAGTTCAAACACAATTCGGATATAACAATTACGAATGAGAATCTGTGTTTCGGGGGCAACTAGGCAAGCTGCCATGTGAGAAAATAACCAATTTCAAGATCCATGAACAACAAGGCAGAGGATGTACAGTTTGAATAGCATTTGATAGCACTAATTCAGGCTAGTTAGGCATCATCTGCATCACTTCCAACAACATGAGATTCCTGAGTTGCCCAATAGTGGCTTCCATCAGGACCTGACACCTTGAACCTGCATATCAACAACGCCAACGTCAACTACTCAACTAGATATTGCCACCAGCAAACAGGAAGCAGAGATATTCATTCTACCTCTCAAGGATGAATTTTCCTTCCTTGTACCTCTGGCTTTTTTCATGTGCAGCCTCCTGACAAAATAAACATTTTAGTAATTATTTACTAGAATGTCATAATATTCACAGAACGGAAGCCACAAGTTTAGAACCTCTGCCTACTGGTCTTACATATTTCCATCCCACAATTGACCCACAACCTACACAAAATATGTCAGCAACAGTGTGCATTCCAGTCATCATCATTCGATCTTCTTTCTCTCCAACTGAGATGTTCACACTGAAAAGCATTGAGAGAAAAGACATGATTTGCAGCCTCCAAATGCAGACATAACAACTTAACTTTGATAGGACTAACAGAATTGAGCAGTATAACAACTTGCTTTCGGAAAATTAAGGTCTATTCTCCTTTCTCTTGACCAGCTAATAAAGTGCACTGACTTCATGAAAAGAAATTTATGATGATTTACTTTGAGAACGGGGGCCATATTCCGAGATGAAAAGAACAAATAAATAGCATACAGTCAATTTACATGATTTGTATTTTGAAGTCAAATTTGCTAAAAGTCATGCTTACATACTAAATTATTGGCACTAGGATAGCCTGATGACCAGTTCATTATACATCCATTGCTGTTGTAAAGTCATGGATATGTCATTAGATTAAATAAGTTTTCCCCAAAATATATGCTTGAATAAGCCTTTAGCTTATCCTACTGGCAGTATACTGTACATGCAATAGAAGGTTTCCGAACAAATTGAGATGAGAAAAGTTAGCCACCTAGTATGAACCAGATTACATCTACTACCCTAGCTTTTGTTGTATTGCAGAAAAATCAAGAAAACTTACACTTTATTGAAGAGATAAGCCTTCCCATGCCTGCAGTGGAAAGACTGAATGAAAGAACACAGGCAAAACATTGAGTCAGAACGCTTGCTTGCCTGCCATAAAAGATTCTAAAATAAACTGGACATGATAACAGTCCTTTTCTTTTCTTTTTCCAATATATATATATATA